TTTATTATAAAATAATATATTTGTAATTATATTTTATACATTACAAGATTTTGTTTTAAATATCTGACATGTCACATAATGTAATCAAACTTATTTTTTCTTTAAGGATTGACAATTTAAAACCATTGTAACCCTACTTTTTGAATAAAAACATAGAACTGATATTATTCATATTAAAAAGTTGAAGAAAAAAAAATAATGAATGTGAATCATAAAAATAGTGAGATGAAAAAATGAAATAATTTATAAACTAGAGTTATGAACATAAAAGTTGTAATTAAAAAAAATTATAATAATAATATATTTTTTAGAGTGATTTGTCAGAAAGTAGAAAGAATTTGAAGAAAATAAATATAGTTGGAAAAAATTAGAAGAAACTGGAAGAAACTGGAAGGAACTGGAAAAAACTGGAAGAACTAGAAGAAACTAGAAGAAACTAGAAAAAACTGGAAATAACTGGAAGGAACTGGAAGTTAAGAGTTCAAGTCCTAAAGAACATGCCATTAATCTAGAGTTCTTGTGAACTTTAGATTGTGTGCAGAATTTGGTGGGTAGTATGAGCAGTAATCAATATGGATGGGTTAGTTTTCACAGTTAATATAATTGCAAGTAAGAGTAAAGATAAAGGAGAGAGTCACGCAAACTTTAACGAGGTTCGAAGGTGGGGTAATCCTTCTACGTCCTCAAAATCCACTATGTAGTTGGTTGTTGAATAATGAACCAACAATTACACTTGTGCGAATTTCTGCACGGTATATCTTCGCAAGGCCAATGTTACTACTGCACTCGTGCTGGCTTTGTTGTTCCTTCGAAGGTCACGCTTCTTCAACAATTGCAAGATCCGAACAATAGGACTTGCAAGATCAACTTGTAAGAAAGTTGACTTACCCCCTTTTAATCAAGAAGTTTGATCAAAAGTTGCATCCTTCAACGTGTTGTGGTACTTGAGGCAAGGAAACCTTCAAGTGTTTACACTATAGCTCTTTGGAAGGAGGAGAAGTTTGCTTCTGGATAAGGAGTTTAGAATTCTCTCTTTATCAAGCTTTTTGGGCTAACTGTGAATGAGATAGCTTTTTTGTTAGAGATTGCTTCGTTGTGGTTTTCTATCTCATGAGTTGTTTGTATTTTCTCTAGTCTTCCAAGGATGCTATTTATAGCTGGATTGGATAATCTATTCGTTGAATCAAAATAGACTATCCGTTGCATTTGCTGGCTTCAATTTTGAATGAAGATTGTGATTTGAAGATTCCTTGTTGGAATGGGTGTTTGGACACACCCAACTGTTTGAGGAGGGATTCCTTTTTCCACAGAATCCGTCTTCTAGTTGTTGATCAAGAATTCTGGACTGTAGCACTTTAATCTATTTGTCTTCTAGTGCTTGTTTAGGAATTCTCGACAGGCTCTTTAATTTGAGGGGTCCAGACTTTGTCTTCAAGTCATTTGTTCTTGAATCAGCATAATTATCTTCAATCTAGCCCTTGAAAATCAAGAGATTGATTTTTCTTTACCAACGGGTATAATTTCTTCATTCAAGACTTAGATAATTTTCTAAGTCTTTTCTCACTTGTCCGCTTCTGAGAGTTCCGGTCTTTCTTTAGGCATCCGGTTTTTAGCTGACAAATCCAGAAGAGTCATTCTCAGTCTTCCGGGTGAGAAAGAGATCCGCGCTAGTCTTCCGACTTGGATGACTTAGCCTTCAGCGGGTTGTAGCGAGACATCCGGTTATCATGTAGTCTTCCGGATTGGAGGATTTTCATCTGCTTTGAGAAATCCTTACTTGTCTCTGACATTTCCGATCAAGATATCCAATTTCCAAATCACTGAATTTGATTAAGTCTTCAAACATCAAACTACATAAAGAAATATCACAACTTTATTAGAAATCTCAAGAACTCGGTTTTGACAATATTTCTAAAAAGAAAAATTACATTGAATATTGGGGGAGGCCTAAAGTCCCTATTACAATCTAAATACATCATCATCAAAATCTATAATATTTTTCCCAACAAGGTCTACTATAGAATTTTCCAGTAATTAATTATTAGTCATTATCTAAAATTAAGCAAATTTTATTGTGAACCTAAGATCCACCTTTCACCTACATATAAGGCAAATAAGTAAATCTTAATTATCTAGATGAGCATTTATTTTAATAAAAATTTGAAAAATAAAAAAATCACGTGAGAAGTTGCACAAAAATGTTATGTATAGAAGTTGCACAATAGAAGCATTCATAAAATTAATAATTTGATTTGAGCTTTTTTAAAAGTTTCCCCTAATAATTTCTTTACTTTCAAAGTCACTTGCTATGCGGCAAGAATGTAATGAAATACGGTATTCTCGGTGCTACTAATAAATGGCGGAGGTATTCCCAATGTTGAGAAACCTTTAGCTGAGATTTCTCCTCGTTTTAAATATAGTATAGATGTTAAACATTAAAAATTCATTGTAAATGTTACTTTGTATAATATAACTTTGGAGAGTTGATGTCGACAGCGACTAGGGCAGTGCATTGCCTGCATCGTCAGCGCCGACTGGGGTGCTGCCATCATCGGTAGTTGTATGGTGCATTTGAGAAACAATAGGGTCATTGTTAAATATGTTATGTATATATTTAATATTAATTATGTGATCATTGTATTTATGGTAGTTTACATGTATAGGTTCCCTTCTGTAATTAGGAATTTTTTGTAACTATTTATACGAAGCTTCGTCCTCCGTTATTTCGCAATAGAAAATAACAATTCTTCATGGTATCAGAGCCTCTCGTTGCTCTCCATCTCTCGTCCGACCTAGCGCAGGCGTAACCCTAGCCGCGCCGTCGCCCCTCCTCTCTCGACCGACCAGCAGACAGCCGCTGCCCACCTTCCTTCCTCGGCAGTGCTGCAGGCGCTGTCCCTCCTCGGCGACCTCCCTTCCCTCGGCGAGCAACCCCCCTATCACCGGGTATCATGTCCGAGAAGATCTCGGTTACCGGCACGACGTCCTCTTCCCCAACTAAACACTTGGCGTTCACGACGATCTCTAACGTGAAACTCCATGTGCTGATTCTCCTAAGCTTCTCCGAGCCTAACTACAAAAAGTGGAGCCGGCTCTTCCTCCTCCTCATTCGAAGGTTCTCTTTGGGTGATTTCCTCACCGGCAAGTCGTCTCCATATAACGCCGATGACTCGGAATGGTTCCAACTTGACGCTCTCATATAAGGTTGGATTCTCTCAACGGTTAATGATGAAATTTTCAATCTTGTTCTCTCCACAACAAACTCTGCATCCGAGCTTTGGAAAGCCATCTATAACATCTTCCACGACAACAAGCCGGCCCGGGCGATGCAACTTGAACACCAACTCCGCACCACCACGAAGGGTTCTCTCTCCATCGCTGCTTATTGTCAAACCCTAAGGAATCTAGCGGATTGGTTGGATGATGTAGATGCCACCGTCTCCGAACAACAACTTGTTCTTCAAGTCTTGCGTGGCCTCCTAGATGATTTTCGAGCACAAACGTCGTTTCTTCAATACCAAACGCCCCCCGACCTTTTTCCAAACACGCTCGGCCCTTCTCTTAATTGAACAACAATGGGCTGAATTGGGCGTCGGAAGCTTCACGGGGGATGGCGGCACGGCGTTCTACGCCGGTAGTGGCGGCCCGCGGCGGCATGGCAGCGCAGGTGGCGGGCGGTCAGATTCCAGCGGCGGGGGAGGCTTCAGGCAGCAGAAGCAGTACTCCCTGCACCGTGGCGGTTCATCTCGGGGTCGTGGTAGCGATCGTAGCTCCGGATCGAATGCACGGAACACCCTCGGGCAGCCCTCCAGACAGTTCACCAGCCCAAACCCTAACCCGGGCCATTTAGGCCCACGGCCAAACCCCTACCCGCACCGCCAACACCCCCAAGCCTACTTCTCTACCCCTCACCTACCCCACGGCCTTACCTCCCCCTACCCCAGCCCCTACCCGACAGCCCCCTCTCCCTCCTACCCGATAGGGCTGTTCACATTTAGGTCCAGACCGAAAAAACCGACCGAACCGGACCGATAGGTCCAGACCGAACTCGGACCGAATGGATTTCGGTCCAGA